AGAAAGACTGTAATTACAAAATTGAAGAAGTAACAAAAAGACATCAACAAAATACAGAAAGACTGTAATTACAAAATTGAAGAAGTAACAAAAAGACATCAACAAAATACAGAAAGACTGTAATTACAAAATTGAAGAAGTAACAAAAAGACATCAACAAAATACAGAAAGACTGTAATTACAAAATTGAAGAAGTAACAAAAAGAGACCAATGACAGAATAAAACATTTGGAAAATGAATAAGTAAATGTAAAGACCAATCCAACCTTACCTCTTTCTTCATCTGCCCAACAATTTCAACCTAAAACACCATTTACTGTAAAATATGAAATACGGGAACCTATTTGCTCTATGCATATTACCACTACTGCTGTGCCATCTGTAACTGCCAGACTTTCCTGGTCTATTCCAGCCATGATACTACCAAATCAAGTTCCAGAATTCAACTGGCCTGTTCAATAACTTCATCCATTTGAGAAACCAATAGAGTGTGATGGAAAGGTACCATGGAAGGCACATCAGGTTCGGTTCAAAAGATTTTTAGAGCGAACGGGTGGAATAGTGAACAACAGGCTATTCATTTTGCTACCATCTTTAATTACATTAAGTAACCTTCCAGCTGTGAGCTGTAACAACTATCAAGCGTTGATAGCTGTCTTATCCAACAGTTTGGAGTGACACTCCAGAATGAAGTATCAAGAGCAAAGTTATGGAACAGGATGCAAAGGAAAGAAGAGACCTCAGTTGAGTGTGTGGAATATTTGTAAATCCTTGCCAAATTACCTACCGAATGCTTCACATGAAATGATGAATTTATTTGCACATTGCCAATTTATAGATACTACAAAATACGAGAATGAGAAAATTGGGCTAAAGAAAAGTAGGTATACATCTGTAAAGGAGGCTCTCCAGTTGTTGATGTAACTTGAGTCCATTAAAGTAACAGATAAACGACTAAAGACACCATCTAGAAGAACTAAAAGGATAAATCGGACAATTTATTACATAGAATGGAGGAAACAAACCACAAGACAATAGATGTTTCAAGTGTAACTCGAAAAAGACAGATTGACAGGTACTGCAAACAAAAGCCTTTATAGAGTAAAAACTCCTCCCAAATAATTTTAGAACAATGGAACTGATATACGTGTGGGAACATGGCCATTGAAGCTGAGACTGTGAGGTGTCAACAGCTGTTAATACACTAACTAGGTAATACCCAAAGAACGAGTATTCGAGTCCAGCCAGGTCAAAGAAATAACAAAGAGCTAATCAGAGGTCAGAAGATATTATTAGGGGTTAAATTCAGCTGAAAATACTCAGTTGAGATTAGAAGTTCATAATTTAAGAAATCATTCCACGAGTCAAGGGACTTGTTGATGAGAAGCCTTGAAGTATGGTAATAAAAGGTGGGAAATTGCCTCCAGTGATGTTTAAAGATAGATTGAAGGGTACTTCCAGCAAGAGGAAAGCTGGAAGTTATCCTTACTGTAGGAAGCTTGTCTACACTTCAGGATACGTGTATAATTGACATTGAGTGCATACTTGGAAGTTATTTCATGTTGAGACATGAGCGAAGTTAGATTATCTTCAAATAGCTTCACAATCTATAACCAGTAAATCCCTGTACACAAATGACAATTACTACACCAGAGGTTGAACTTCCAGTGGTAACATGAGGGGCAATTATGGTTATATTGTACTATTAAGAAGTAAAGTACTGATACCAGGACTTATTAGGAATAAATTTACATGTAATGATGTGGGCATAGTAGAACCAAACACTCCAGTTAACCTGAGGAATTAATGGTTGGAAGAACTCTTATGGATCTAAAGAATAAAGATATTATCATTAGGGCCATTAACAGAACAAGCTATGAAATTCAAGTCATGTCTGGATGAGAAATTGCACAGGTAGTACTTCCATATCAAAGAACATCAGAAGTAGTTATCTTTGAGACAAGATTTACGAAGACTGATGTTCAGTTATTAAATGAGGACAGTTTACCACTTCACTTATAAGAACTGTATGGTCAGAGCTGTGGGAGCCTTAATGTTAATCAGTGTGAAGAAAAATGATGGACGTGCAAGTTCTGCGTCAACTACTAGATGTACGCAGATTACGAGTCGAGCGCCCTAACCATCTGGCCCTGCCGGGCATTTTACCAAGTAATCTAAAAAGTAACCGCCAAACGATAGAACATGTTACAACAGTATTAAACATATCAATCTATAAGAAGCAAAGCGTTTGAAAAAATTATCGTTTTTCTGTTTGTCTAAAAATGACAAAAACAAATGCATACAACGGAGAAATACTACGTAATATTGTTGTGTACTGACTGGCCTAGACAGACAATACCACTTTGTGTTTGGTTCTACAATGTCCAGCTGCTGGAGGTAAACTGCATGTATATAAATACCACAACACATCCTTTCCCCCCTAGACAGCAGTTATGAGTTTACTTAGCTACCCAGTAACTCGTTGTCGTCGCTGATGAGCGAACAGAAACAAACCAGGCGTTGCTGATATAATATGTTACTCTTCAGCGGTTGACATTTCCACGAGTTTTACAAGCGCGGTGGTGTCTATCATTGTGATTTTTTATGGTACCAAGAAGACGGGTGTGCATTGACTTCGAGGCTTCTAACACATCTATGTGTAATTAAATGAACTTCCTTGGAAGAAATTTTACGTATAGCTACATCTCTTACGTATATGTCGAAAGTTTAGTACGAAGCATTTTTTACTATCGGTATCACAGAACCAAACGGACTAAGTACTACTATAAAATATTTGTAAGCAATAAGTCGATCAAGTGATTAAAACACGCACTTGTACTATACCAGAGGATGAAATCTGCATAGAAAAAAAGGAAAAAACTTCAAAAAAACGTTGGAATTGAAAAGTTCTACTTCCCTGAGTAATGAGTTTTATTTCTTAACCGACTTCTCATGGAAACCGGGGTAATTACGATCTGTATTATATTATTGTTTTCTATGAAGAGATAATACAACTAACTTACATGATATATTTAAGAACAATTGATAGATTAGCAGCTGTTATATTTCAAATAATCAATAGTTAAAATTTAATTGTCAAATATAAATTAAAATGAGATAGATAAATTAGTACTATTACTATTAGTGAAATGATTGAAGGTCTTATGAATTATCGATAAATATTCATTTTATAAAAAGAATGGCAAAAGAAAGTTGTGAGTAAATTGTAAAAAATAACAAGCTTATATTAACAAGGGTTTACTTTTCATAATATTCTCAGCATATAGTAATTCAGAATACAAATTATCTCGTCGTATTATCTATCAATCATTACTACTAGCTGTAATCAATTATTTATACAACTTACAAGTTTCAACTAATCTGTATGACTAACTCATTCCTTATAATCATAATTTTCTGTTACTATAGGATTTAAGTACAATGTATGAATAATATACGTCTTCCAAATCCCTGAAGAATGTGTTTTCATAAATGAACTAAAACGTCGTTGAATTATGAATTTGTTCATTGGTGGTA